AAGAATGGCACCATATCTTTTCCCACACAAACGTGGAGTATCTTAAAATGTGGGGATCAGACCACAGACCCATGTTAGCCTCCGTTCAAAATAGACCTCATAGAATTTTCAAAAGGTTTATGTTTGATAAGAGGTGGATTGGAAAACCTGGCTTAAAGGAGGCTGTCAAGGCGGGTTGGAGGTTCTCTAGACATGGCCGAGGCGGCTTTCTTCCCCGAAAGATTAAAACCTGTCGGGTGTCTATTTAAAATTGGAAGAAGTCTATCGTAACCAATTCCGAAAAACTTATCATGAGCCTTCAATCTAAGATTGACGCATCTCAAGATAATCCAGAGATTTCCTCTGAAGCTCTTTTAGAGTTAAAATGGAAAATGTGTGATGCATATAGAGAGGAGGAGCTGTATTGGCAGACAAGAAGTCGTGAGACGTCGCTAAAACATGGGGATAAGAATACAAAGTTCTTCCATGCTACTACCAAACAACGACGGGCTAAAAATAGGATTACTGGTCTATTAGACCAGGATAGCAGATGGGTAGATAATGAGGATGGTATTGAGGACTTAGCAGTCTCATATTTCAAAGATTTATTTAGATCCTCCAATCCCCAGGATTTGGATTCAGTCCTCCGGGCTATTCCCGTGTCTATAACTGAAGAAATAAATCAATCTCTCACTAGAGAATTCTCTTCTGATGAGGTCAAACGGGCCCTTTTTTCCCTCAACCCTGAGAAGACTCCAGGTCCTGATGGCCTGACGGCCTTATTTTACCAGCGGTTCTGGGATATTGTAGGAGATGACCTTGTCAAACTAGCCCAAGAGTTCCATTCTACCGGTTCTTTTGATGAATCTCTGAATGAGACAAACATTTGTCTTATTCCAAAAACTGAAAGACCTAGATCGATGAAGGAATTCAGGCCAATAAGTTTATGTAATGTATGTTACAAGGTCCTCTCAAAGATTCTCAGTCTTCGTTTGAAGAAATTTCTTCCGGATTTGATTTCTTAGACTCAGTCCGCCTTTGTGTCCGGACGTCTTATTACGGATAATATCATGATTGCTCAGGAGAATTTCCACGCTCTCCGTACAAATTCGAATTGTCGGAAGAATTTTATGGCTATTAAAACAGATATGAGTAAAGCTTATGATCGTGTGGAATGGTCCTTCCTTAATGCTCTGATGCTGAAAATGGGTTTCGCCCAAAGATGGGTTGATATGATAATGTTTTGTATTTCCTCGGTGTCGTACCAAGTTATCATAAATGGTACCCCGAGAGTTCATATAAAACCTTCCCGGGGAATCAGGCAAGGGGATCCAATTTCTCCCTTTCTTTTTATACTTTGTACTGAAGCCCTTGTGGCTCAGTTAAATGAAGCAGAATGGCAAGGCAAAATCCAAGGCCTTCAAATCGCTCGGGCAAG